ACGGCCACACCTTCCTCCGAAATGCGCTCTCAAACCTCACCCGTACACCCTGTCAACCTCTCTCCACCACCTCTTTCCCAACCGCCCCCCTCGTCCTCCGCCGACCACCTCCTCCGCCCCCTTCGAACACAGCACGCTTATGTACCTACGTTCGTACGTGTTTACGCTGTGAACGCGCCTCGCCAAGCGGAACTAACGATAACGAACGGTTACGAATGTAAGGGACCGGTTCGCAAAGCAAACGACATTTCAACCACGCATTGCACACTGCTGCTCGCCTCTGTGCAAGAAAAAGAGAGAGGAGGATGAAACGAGACGGTGGTAACGGTGGAACAGATGGATAGAACGTTGGATGGACAGTGTGAAATGTGGCGCAAGACGGAAGTCTTAGGTTGGAGAGACTTCCTGGTAGTCGTGAGAGGAATGCGGCTATTACTGTTGTCTGGGATGGTTTTGTTGCTTTTTCATGTTAGACGGCGGAGAAAATATGGTAATTAGGTTTTAAGGTGAACTTGTTAATTAGAAGGTATTGATTTTGTCCGACGTGTGCTTCTTGCGAACCCGAATATCGAATCTTAATTGCATGCAAATATGTAGGTGGAGGATGTGGGTGTATAATGGCCTTTCGGCAAATTTCATTAGCGGAAGTGGCAATTTCGTTGCGGCACGATTCTGTTCGATATTTCTTTATGCCGTTTTATTTTTGAATCTATTGCTTGTGTAAGATCGTTTTCTGACGCATGAGCAGTTTCACGTCAATTCTTACGACGATTTCTGTCACAGATAGTGCTTTGTACTTGATAGACTTCACATTTTTATTACTCCACACGTGTCACGTAATTCTTGCACTTGAAATGCACCCCGCGGAGCGCAAGCTTTACTCGTTATTTTTTACAACCGTTGCGTACGCCGCTCCACATTCCCGAAACTCGTATTCCGCAGGGGAAGGAAGGAACGGGACGATAATAATCGCGAGCTGATGTATTGCAGTCGTAAAATATTGCAAATGGTAACTTGCCGACTTAAGTGTTTCACTCGAGCTAATCCTACTCTGCAAAATTCTCAACATTGAATAATAATTCCAAGGCAACCCTAAAGTTCTACATAAATCACTTTTCACGAGCTACCAACAAACGTTCGAAATTTCAAACCAAAAAGTCCCCAACTACGACAGCGATTCTCTCTCGTCCTCGTCGCTGCAATAAACACAAAAAAACCGAGGAGAAAAGGGAGCACCTTGATTGACGGACACGCTGTCAAGATACTCCCGAGGATCTAACAGTAAACTTCTCTGCGAACTAATAGCGAAACGGTGAGCAGGATGTAGCACTTAGTTTATGGCCACCTTGCGGTGGCCTGGTTCCGAGTGGTCAGTGCCTAGCCCAGCAGTATTGTCCACTTGGATCGTAACTAGCAACAGAAACAACGGCAATACGGCACCGGCAGTGCAGCCGATGTCCGCGTTCCCGTAGAGCCGTTAGCGCGGACGTTCAGCCTTGCAGACGGTACTTGGTGGTCCAGGTTCCCAGCACCGGGCGCATCTGCATCGAGCCGAGACAGGATAGTAAATTACACGTTGACTAGAGCTGACAACCGCAATGCGTGCCATACACTGGCGTGCATGGGCTTCTGTACGAAATGCCGTGTGTTTATGCGGCCGGTGAGTCCAGCACTGTCAGCTCGCCTGGGCCACCCGGTGAATTATAGATGAGCTGCCTTAATAAAGACACGAGAGATGCCCGAAATTCTCCCGACGTTCCATCGCCGTAGGATCTCCACGTTCCTTCGAATTGCAAACGGATAGATACCACGTGAGTTTGTTCACTCGCTATGTATACGAGAGAGAGAGAGAGATAGAGATTGTTCCTCCATCTCTCCCAACAGCCTGGCTTTTTTTGGATGGGGGGGGGGGGGGGGGGGAACAAGTAATTTACCGTAGCCGCTGGGAAAGGCCGTGAGTATGAAATATGCGATTAATCTCACAATTAAAGTTTAAAATTTCATTCTCGACAAACAACGCGTTTAACGCTCGGCTATATTCTTTCGTTTTATTTCACGTGGAATTGGGAAATATTTTCTTACCCCGTATGAATTGCTCGCGATGAAATTTTCAGGAGAATCATATTGTTCGCAGTTTAGCACTTCGTTCGATGAACTTTTGCCGAGGGAAATAAGCGACGTACGAATAGGTGTGGATTATTTATGTTTCTGATGATTCTGATGTATTGCGAAGAACCCTTTCACCGATAACGAGGCTGACACTTGCAATGATTGGAGTATACGACTGGGAGTATCAGTGCTAAACACCGGCAGTTATGTATATCAGGGGCAGTAAAGTTGATATAAATTTATCTGAAAATTTCACAGCACTCTCGTAAAGTTGTTTTAAAAGTATCCTCGTAAAACCGATTTCAGACCTTTTCTCCACACGATGTAGACTCTTGTCCGAGGTGATACTTCAGCGCAGACGCCTATCATCTCTTAAGTAATTCCACGTCTTGCTCTTAAGATAACGAATTTGATCGTGGGAACGTGCTCTTGCATAGATCGTTCGCGGTTAACGTTATACGCTACTCGAATTGCGATATTTTATATCGTTCCGATACGACAACGGTACATTGAAAGGTACCGTAATTTCTCTCTAGTTCCAACGTCGTTACTAGAAAAGAGGAAGTATAATTTTGCAAAATCCACCGTACAAAAATGGTTCGAAAGACACACGTTGGATTATCAAGGAAAAATTGAGTATAGGAGGGGAAGTTTTCCGAGCATACGTGTCGGAATAGGCTGATGTTGGGGAGGGAGGTATCGGAGGGGAAGGAAAATTTAAGGGCAGCCGTATATTATCGCGTCGAAGGGATTGTCTGAGGTTAACTGCCAGAGCTTCGTAAGGGGTGTGGAATCGGGTAGTGTTGAGGGGAGCTAGAGAGAGGCGAGGCTGTGCCATGAATATGCCGCCATTAGTCACACGCCGAACTGCGCTGCAGAAAGAGAAGTAGGTGACACGAATTTCCCGGCATTGCGCGCCCTATTGGTATCCCAAGGGTGCCGCGGCAGTAACGCGAACAATTCCCCGTGAATGCGCATTTATCTCAACCAAGTCCCCACCCTCTCTGTCCACCTCCGCCGCGCTCCTTCGTTCGGCCTTGTACCACCGAAAAGGCTAATAAAACTTGGTGAAATCGTGGGCGAGAAAAGGGCACCGTATCGATTTTCTTGCCTGGGGGGGAAAAAACGTTGCGGTTGTGTGTCATTCGCAACACTTCCTTCTGTCTCCCGTTATATTTCTGGTTGTACCGTGCCAGCAGACTACACTATCGTTTAAAGCGTTCCGGTACCTAGTGACGCCCCTGTCATAGGCAGACCTTGTCGTTACATCTCAAAAGGCAGCAATGAAACGGTTAACTAAATTGCTACATGCTGGCTGTCAGCTGCAGAAAGTCCCTCTCATTCTTGCGGCTTACTCTGTCCGAGATATTCCAACGATCCTCCGTGTTTAGTTGCCCAACGGTAGCGGGGTCTTTGATAGGAAAAGCAATTGGAATCCTTAATCAGCTTATGAATTCTGACTGTTGAAAATAATCGGTGAAACAGTTTTTGCCGGTGGAAAAATGTTTTTTTAGTCTGTGCAGAAAAATGGAATAACGTAGAGAGTGTCTGTAAAAGATTGTATCCTTCTCTGAAATTTAGGCTAGGCTCAACGGTGTGATACGAGATGCTTTCTATCGGAAAAGTGAAGATGATCTCTCGAAATTTTTAAGAATGCCTTACAAAGATTCGATACGAATACTCTTCGTGAAAAGAAATTAAAATTGCCTTGAAGTGTGAAGATTTCTCGCATATTCTATCATACAAAATTTCTTTTGTCATTTAGTCCGCGCTATTTTTCAAAAACAGGGTATGTCATGTGAAACTTTCACAGTTGAGCTGCAACCAGTGCTGGTTTCATTGGTCACTCTGAGGAAGTAGAGAAAAATGGATGCATTCTTTCAAGGACACGCTGTACGCAGAAAAATTGCTAAAATACACATAATGGCAGGCATATACTTACGGACAAGTTGCACTTCAATTTTCAAGTGACGCGTATTAATGTCAGAAGTTAGCAAGTGTAAAACATCTATATTTTTTTGCACTTTAGAACAAGTTCTTTCCATCTTTTCTCAGATGCAAAAAGTGACAAATATTTTGTCCCGAGCTTTAGTTTTTGCGCCAGACAAATACTTACAGACACTGTGAGGAGGTCGAGACACGTCGTATATTCAGCAGTGTAAACAAATTTCATCGATCTTTGTCGAAGGGTAGATATAGTTAGAGACGTTAAAGCGGCGTCAAACCGAAGGAAGGTAGAAAATTACACCTGAACAAGGACGACAGGTGAAATTACTTCAGACAGATTTACCGGCAAAATTGATGTATTATAAATTGAAAAATGAAATATGCACATTCACAAAATCCTTAAGTACAATTCGGGAGTTCTCAGCTTTGCAATTTTATTACATTTTATTTTATTTACTTATCGTTAAAAATATTCCCGTGACATTCTCCTTTCGTATAAAACAACCCTAACCCATTCCTTTTTCCATAATTCTTACATTTTATGTGAAAAAATTATTTGAACCGCACACCGTAAGATTTTAAGCGACACTCGTTTTGTATACAAGAACCACTCGCCTCATTATTTTTCTTTTAATAGAATACATAAAATTTGCCAAGTGTCCATAAGTATACGACCATCACCGTGCTAAATTCACCAAGAAAAATATTGTAAATGAATTACAATAACGTGTACAAGTGAAATATGAACTGTCTTATTCGTTCTTAGCCGTTATTTGCATACAAATTCTTTCCACATCCGCCGTTATTATCTGACTCATACATAGTACAGAAGGACGTGAAGCGTATTTTTAGTCCTGGTGTAATTCGTACGATCGCAAGTGTGGGATGATATGCGCAGAGGAACTCTTGAAGTAAATTTGATGGGATAATGGAATTTATCTGATTCATATCCGGTGCCAGAAGGTGGTATCCGGGGCTCTGTGTTTTACACCGGAAGGCACGCAATTTGTCCCTCTGATAATATCGTCAACTTTCCCTCTGATTATACGGAAGTTCGTCTCGGTCGGTTTCAAGGTCATATTTATCGTTTTTTGCAGCCTGTTTGTGTTGAACCACAGTTCTTCCTCGCCGTGCCTGTTCAGAATTACTTTGATGCCGCTCACGTACTGCAGCGTCTCCTCGTCTTGTGCAATTATCACAACGTTCTCCGGTGTAAATGGTTTCTCAATGTTCCAACAAGCGATCGCCGTTAATTGGACTAATTGGAAAAATATTACGCCTCTTTGTGACGTTGCTTGGACACCCGCCTGGCTTGCTCGCTTATAATTCGATTCGAGCACTATTGGCTCGGTGTATTTGCTCTGCTTTAAAGAGTACGTGTCCGTAAATTTTTCGCGATAACTGGCCAAAGAATTGAAGTAGAGATACCTGGAAATTATTTGTCTTATAACATAAACAGTCTTTGTTAAAAATTTAGAAATATGTTGAAAATAAGCTTCGAACATTTTCGATGATTCTAATCTTAGTCGTCTCGTTAGTATTTTAAATTACGCAATTCCCTTTAATTGTTATGATTTTTCTCTTGCTTTTCTCACTGCATTTATCGTCAGTTAGTTTTTTCAATTGATAAACACTGTTTTCATTCAAGTTTAAAGACATTTATACATACGTTCGGTTGCGTAGACAAGCTGTACATATAGCCAAAGCCAATACCTTTCGTCGTAATATCCATTTGGTGTCAATGACATTCCAAGAGTGCCATCAGTTAAATCGAACGATTCACCGGCAATTGTAATGTTCATGGCGTCGTCATCCGGGCCGAATGCATTGCCGCGTGTGTTGTTCACCCGCCACGAATAATCGTGATATAAGTCGTAAATCAGTAGGCCATTTTGATCCACATCCGCCACGTACAGATAAGTATCGAGGCAGGTTTTTCTGACATCAACGATCGGCGTAACTAATGCTGCTTTTCCATAAAGCACTTGATCATTCGGAATCGTGTATTTATGGATCAGTTGATCGGTAGTTAGGTCGAAGATCAATATTTTCGAGGGACAAACAGCGTTTCCCATAACACGGCCATTATCCACAACCCACAAGCGATTGCATTCGTCTATCTAGAGCAGCCAATCATGTGTTGGTACACTTAATTTAATCTTGCGTAATTCTTGAGACTGTGTCTGTAGGCGAACTTTAATCACGGATATACATAGATTGTTCTATCGTTTCGATTTAATTTGAGCCATAAAATTTCTCTCGTACAACTTGTATTACTTTTACGGTTGTGTGATTAATGTAAAGAAAGTTTAAGGGTTAGACTGGGTTGACCGGTTCAGGAATTGAAAATAAATGCAGTTCATAGCTATATACACTACGAGTCAAAAGTTTTGGATCATTTGCCAATTTAGAGCGATATTGAATCTGCTGTTAATTCTTTATAAATTCGAAATTGGTGTTCTGGAGATCAATTGCGATTTAATCCATTTTCTGTTGATTAGAATGTTAAAAAATTCGTTAAGTAATTCTTAAAATTGCTATACTTCTGTCTGAAAATTTTTCTGTAACTTGCAAAGCACAGTGATCCCAAACTTTTGATCTGTAACTTTCAGTGCACAGTGATCCCAAACTTTTGATCTGCAACTTTCAGTGCACAGTGATCCCAAACTTTTGATCTGCAACTTTCAGTGCACAGTGATCCCAAACTTTTGATCTGCAACTTTCAGTGCACAGTGATCCCAAACTTTTGATCTGCAACTTTCAGTGCACAGTGATCCCAAATCTTTGACCTGTAGTGCAATTTTCTCGCGCCATTTCTTATCAAAACACTGTCATTTCATCTGGTGTCTCTTTCACGAATTCACCTGTACCAATTCTACTTAAAAATGTCACTCTGCCTAAATCTAATCATTCCCGGTGTCAAAGCGTAACATAGCACAGAGAAACATTTGCCTAAGCTTACCAAATTATCTTAATTAAATACTGCACCGAAAATCAAAAGTCTAAGTTTACCAAATTATTTCGATTGAATACTGTATAGGAAAGTAAAAATCTACGTTTGCCAAATTATTCTGATTAAATACGCTATTTTTGGAAAAAAACACAACCCGTCTAAAATTTCATTTGAAGCGTCAAAATTTCAAAAAACCACGTTTCATACGCACCAACCTAATTCATCGTAACACTTACCGCCAACCTGTACACAGATATAATGCTGTCACAATTATACGGCTTGTGCCAGGTCCAATCGGGATACGGTATTAGCAAAGGACCACCTAAACCAATAGCAGTTGTTACCAACGATAAGCTAATCGGAACACCGTCCAACCACTGAGGACTCGTTACGAACACACGGCCGTATCTATCGACGTCTACATCTTGTGTAAACGGATTACCAAGCGTGAAGTTCTTTCCCGTCAATTGAACACTCGGCCAAACCCAATCCAAATATTTCCATTGAAAAGCAACTTCTAGTCCCCCTCCTTCTTCTCCTCTTTCTCCTCTCGCGTAATACAAAGACCCAAGGGTCAAGAGGAAACTGAACAATTGCACCGTGTGAACCATGACAAATTCACGAAACAACTGATCTATATACACACAATCGAGGTTTCTTTCTAGGAGTCGCAACGTTAAGCAGAAATTTAGCGAACCTGCAGAATCTAGTAGGTTGACTCGGTTCCGCGATCCAAAGTAAACTGCTTCACAAGGCGGTGCAGAAATATTCTTGACAGTGGCATTACTACCACCATGTCTGACCACTTTCCCTGTTCGTATGCCTCGAAAGTGTGGTTCACCTTGAACTGAATATATACCAGACGGCCAAATATGTTTTACGATCCACTGAACGATCTATCGGTAAACATTACCAGGCTGGACTGTCGGTTAGAACTCGGAACTAGTTATATATGCTAACTCTGTAATCGGCACAAGGACATTATCTCCTGTGTCGCGCACTTGTTGCAGTGTAGAATGAATTCGTTCGTCCTGTGACAAAGAAATTTTGTAATTGCTGCTCGATTGACATTGCTTCGCTGTTTTATAGTAAGTGGTACACTTTCGGTTGTAAGCATCAGGACACTGGGTGAACGTGAAGCGAACCTAAACGGCCATTGCATAATTATTCTGTCGGGAATCTCGCGATAGGACGAGTAGATGCAGTTTAGGTGATATGTGGTACTAAATCTGATATGTATGAAATGTAATATAAATTAGGTGATATTTCATTTGATCGGAAATTGCAAGAGCTCTTTCGTTCTAACTGTGAATTTTTTAATTTCTAATTATCTTTCTTAATTTTTATATAATAGCTTACAATGGTAAACTATGGCAATTTTGAGAAAGCTTTCGAGCTTTATTTTCTATGAAATTTTTGCGAAAAAAGTATTCTCTATTGACTTGCATAGTTGTTGTCTGGTTGTCTCAAAGTTGAAAATTTTGTTAAAAATTTCTCTCAGGAAGAATCAGAAACTACTGAACTGTATGATAAATTGACTTCACGGTTCTCGTGAATTTTCTGAGCTACTAAACGATTCAACAGTTACAACATAAAATAGCCATTTGACGATGCCCATTTTTCACACGGTTTTTTTCTCCTCTTTACTTGAATTTCCGAATCAATAGAGGCACGATCTACCAGAAGAGTTAGCAACGTACGTGTGGAGACGTCAATAACGAATTCTCACCGAATGCGATCATGAATGCATTATCTACTGCGAGATCCGAATGTAGATCAGCTATTTGAAAACACTACAGGCTCAACTGAAATAGAGCTCGAACTATTTCCGTAGAAATACCCGCGTACAAAGTAGGTTATTAGAAACGTTTGAATTCGATCTCGACATCTTCATCGCGTCATGTACGATGAAATTTGTATCAGTGAATTATGGAATCAGTATGTGATCGGTTAAAACCAAGTATTTTTACAATCTGTTCACCATTTTGAAAACTGATTCGTTTTATTTTTGCAATTTGACGATGGAGCATCGATCAATTTTCTATTTCTGCAATTTGACGATGGAGCATTGATCAATTTTCTATTTCTGCAATTTGACGATCGAGCATTGATTAATTTTCTACTTTTGCAATTTGACGATCGAGCATTGATTAATTTTCTACTTTTGCAATTTGACGATGGAGCATTGATTAATTTTCTATTTCTGCAATTTGACGATGGAGCATTGATCAATGTTCTATTTCTGCAATTTGACGATCGATCTCTGAACAATTTTCCATTTTTGCAACGTATTAACAATCGAGCACAGCTTTATTGCTTTCACACCATTTATCTCATCCCGGAAGTGTTTGAAAAATCATGAGGTCTCGCAATCATTTACACGTGTATCACGTTTACATAAATTTCGCTCAACCGAATCATTACAGATCCGAGTATCGCGTATTACTCGCAAGCAGACGGTAATGCAGATATTACCCGTGAAATGTTGCGGCAAAACGACAGCGTAAGTTTCGGACGGTCTTGCGAATAATGAAAAGCTTTGCACGTCGGAAATGTTTTCCAAGAGTTACGTTGTACATACAGATCACGCAATACGCTCATAATCTTCGCGCTTCTCATGGCGGAGAGCGGCTAATTTTTTCCCGCCGACCCCTCTCGATTTCGACTGCTGAATCGCTTTACACGCCTTACCACATCTGGCCGGCAGAACCGTGTTTGCTAAGGAGAAGTGGAAATCATAAATCACCTGGCTAGTCACGATTAAGCCCGACCAGAAGACAAATGGGTGGTTAATTTCAATTCTAATGCGAAATTGACAACAAGTGCTACATATTATAGTTCTGTTTGCACTGCAAAGATGCGTTTTCAACAAGATTCCCCCCCTAGATTAACGAACGAGTAATGGGTGTTGCTTTTTCCTTCGTTACGATCGACGTGCAATTTTTCGTATTCGAGTGTTTTCGTTAGATCGTTTCGCTAACAAAAGAAATCATGAAATCGGAACACGAATAATCCTGTAAGGTAACGGGCGAGCAGCCAATCTAACGCGTACGTTTCCTCGTTGAAAGTGAAACTGCGTTCTTTCTACGAATAAGGAATAAGAAATTGCAATTATACAGAAGTATGTACGCACGCATGAGGTTTCCAGAGCAATGGAAGCTATTATACTAATTGATGTAAATGTAATTTATAACGCAGGAAAAGATAAGATTGCGATAAATTAATTCGTACAGCTAATTATTCTCCGATTGAAGCAATGTAATATTTCAAACTGATATAAAATATTAAAGTAGCAAGAGATGATGAATGTATTTAACCCTAATGGCGTTTTTATGTTGCATTCAGATGACTTTTTTTCAATCTCAGAAGTCTGTATACAAATCAATTTTTTAGTAGTTAAACTTTTTTGATACGGGAGTCAAGGTGAGTCTTATTTTTTCTAGATACTAAGATCAAGGCTTATGTCAGCTAACTAAATACCTACGAACATTTTTAATAGTAACGGTAATCAAGTAAATGATTTTTAAATGGCTACGCGTATCAATTGATCATGGAAAATAATTTGTTATCCATTTTCCTCGTACTATCGAATTTCCACCATACATTTATTCTCCAATTGAAATTTCATTCTTTAGAAAGCGTCCATATGTTTCCCACACTATCTTGGTCAGAATTAATAAGGAAAGAGAAAATGCAGCAATTTACAGCGATGCTCTTCGTTATTCTCGACAACTGGAACTTTCGAACTGCAATTTCACGTAATTTTTAAACGACACGTGTGTCTTTAATAGTTTCTTATGCTCAAGTCTTCAATTTCTCAGTTTCAAGTCTCAAATCTCTCATCTTCAAGTCTAAAATCTCTCAGATTCAAGTCTCAATTCTCTCAGTTTCAAGTCTCAAATCTCTCAGATACAAGTCTCAAATATCTCAGTTTCAAGTCTCAAATCTCTCATCTTCAAGTCTCAAATCTCTCATCTTCAAGTCTCAAATCTCTCAGATTCAAGTCTCAAATCTCTCAGTTTCAAGTCTCAAATTGCTCAGTTTCAAGTCTCAAATATCTCAGATTCAAGTCTCAAATTTCTCAGATTCAGGTCTCAAATTTCTCAGTTTCAAGTCTCAAATCTCTCAGTTTCAAGTCTCAAATCTCTCATCTTCAAGTCTAAAATCTCTCAGATTCAAGTCTCAAATCTCTCAGATTCAAGTCTCAAATCTCTCAGTTTCAAGTCTCAAATCTCTCATCTTCAAGTCTCAAATATCTCAGATTCAAGTCTCAAATTTCTCAGTTTCAAGTCTCAAATCTCTCAGATTCAAGTCTCAAATCTCTCAGTTTCAAGTCTCAAATCTCCCATCTTCAAGTCTCAAATCTCTCAGTTTCAAGTCTCAAATTTCTCATCTTCAAGTCTCATATCTCTCAGTTTCAAGTTTCAAATCTCTCAGTCTCTAGTCCCAAAACTCTAACTTCTTATCCATTTTCCCATACTACCACATTTTCACCGTAAACGTACACTTCCTCAAGGCGATAATTCTCCATCGACGAAATTGAAATTTCATTCTTTCGAACGGCGCGGCGTGCATAAATTTGCCAACGCTGTCTCCGGTCGAATTAATCAGGCAAGAGAAAATTCAGCAATTTACAGCGATACTGTTCGTTATTCCCGACAGTTTGGAACTTTCGAACTGCTATTTCCACCGGAGGCTCGTGTCGTACGATTTTATATCGACAAGGAAGGAGAGAAAGTCCCGCAAGATGCGTCTCCCGACCGGTTGAAACAGTTCTTCTTCTTCTTCTTAAACTGAGTTTGGTAAACCCTCGTACAAGTTGAAGTTCTGACCGTGCGGGTGGCGTCGAAGGGGCGTAAGGACGGAGGCGTCGTAAAAGTTGGACGAAGTCAATTTTGCAGTTGAAGTTGGTAATGCGATTTGTGCCAGAATAAATAGTTCGAGTGGGGAGCACACAGGGCACCTTCTACTCTTGCTACACCTCGTTTTTCTCTGGTGTCTGACCCGTGGACCAATCCACTCGAGTTTGGTGTCACGGGCACGTCTGTTGGACCTAGTGAACGTGACAGTCTTACCGGAAGAAGTTTTACGTAGCTACGACGAAGCAACGAGTGGCAACGTAACGAAATAAGAGACTCATTACTTCTAGGAAATTGCCGAGTAGTTGTATTTTGCAGACGTCCCTTGAATAATAAGCGGCCCGATTGAAAAGGACACGTTTTATTTCATTGATTCGACTTCGTCTCCGTCTTCTTCTTCTTCTTCTTTCGCATGCATCGCAGGAAATATCGAATTATTAATGATAAATTAGAATGAGAATGTCACGTGTGTGATTGGAATTAAATAATTGATTAATTTAAAGGGATTTATTAGGTTCTGAGAAACTAGATGTTCAGGTCAGGCAATGATTAAATTACCAAACGAAATTTGTACTTCCTGAAATATTTAAAAAAATCGATACGTCACGTATACTTGATTTCGTGTCCTTTTAAATTATTGCACATGATGAAAATATTAGGTCAAACTAAATATAGTATACTGCTTAAAATATTTATAAAATTGATGTGTTATATCTATTTGATTTCACTTTGTTGCATTTTGAAATTTTGAA